TGCTAAAAATAATGATAATAATGATAATAGTTATTATCATTATCGTTATGATAATGATAGTAATGCTAATAAAAATAATGATGGTAATAATAATAATAATAGTAAAAATCATAATCATTATTATTATTATTATTACTATTATCATTATCATTATCATTATCATTATCATTATTATTACTATTATTACTATTATTATTATTATCATTATCATTATTATTATTGTTATTATCATTGTGATACTGATAATAATGAGAAAAATAATAGTAATTATAACAATGGTAATAATAAAGATAATGACAATGATAACAATAATGATCATAACAATAATAATAACAATGACAGTAATAATGATAATGATATCAATAATAATAATAATAATAATAATAATAATAATAATAATAACAAAAATTATAATAATGATAATAGCAACAACAACAATGATAATAATAATGATAATGATAATCATCATTATTATTATTATTATTATTATAGTGAGCATGACAATAATGATAATAATTATCATTATAACAATTATGATAACGATAATAATGATGACAACAGTAACATTAGTAATTATGATTGTAAAGGTAATGATGATAACGATAACAGTAATGATAATGGCACAAGCATGATGCTAATGACTATGAAAATAACGATCATATGATAAAGATAAGAATAGCAATTATAATGATGAAAATAGTAATAACAATAGTTGTAATAATAAAGAGGATAATGATATGGAGAAGAAGAATAGTTATATTGATAATAATGATAAATGATAAGATCGTCTCGCCAGATTGCCCAAAACCCTATCATATCCTCACCAGGACGTGCATGCAGTGGACACAGATGATGCCCATGATGGGTATGCCGAAGAAGCCCACCCACAGGCCGGCATTCATGAAGGCTTCGGGCATTGCGAGGAGGCCGGTGCCAATGTTGCCCTTCAGCACGTGGATCATTGTCTCGCAGTCCCTGAGAAAGATATGATGCAGAGATAAAGGAATCGGTGATAGAAATGTATTAATGATCAAGTAATGGGTAGTGGAATTATAGATAACTGATGGGAGAGATAATGGATATAGTAATTCATGAATGAATTAATACATTAACTAATTACATGAACAAAAGTAGATAAAGTAACGGATGAATAAGTAAACAAGATATCAATGAATGAAGGAGCAGAATATAAACATGTAAACAGAAATAACGAATGAGAGTAAATGAAATGCCGAAACCAGATTTCATGGACAAGAAGTACAGAAAATATGAAGAAATAGAAAGGTCACAGGGAGGCTGTCATGGGAAATCCTTTTCGAGAGCAGCAGCCGCGGCATTTTCTCTTCTGAAATGTTCTCGCAGTTGTTGTGCAGAAGAGAAAACAAAACAGTATAAAGGGGAAGAGGAGATATCACTAAAATTATAATATTGAAATGAAGACGATATGATGATGGTAAAGATGATGCTGATGATGGTGATGGAGAAGATGATGGTGATGGTGAAGATGATGAAAATGATGGTTATGATAAAGATAATAAGGACACTTTTTTTACTTTATCTTTATTCTTCTTCTCTCTTATCAGTATTATCATTCATAATAAAGATAATAATAATAACAATAACAACAACAAATACAAAAACAATAATAATAATAGTAAGGATAATAATAATCATTATTACAATAATGATAATAATAATAATAATAATAATGATAATAATAATAATAATAATAATAATAATAATAATGATGATAATAATAATAATAATAATAATAATGATAATGATAATGATAATGATAATGATAATGATAATGATAATGATAATGATAATGATAATGATAATGATAATAATAATAATAATGATAATAATGATAATAATAATAGTGATAAGTATGTTGATATTATTATCGTTATTATTGTTACTGCTATTAGTAATGTTTTTTGTTATTATTATCATTATCATTATTGTTATTATTATTATTGTTATTATAATTTTTTTCTTCTTCCTTCTTGTTAACATAAATTTTGTCACAATTATTATTCTCACTATTACTTTTGTTATAACTATTATTTTTGCTATCATTATTGTTATTGTTATTATTACCATTGCTACTACTACTGTCGTGACCTGGATTGCAGCCTCCACGTCAAATGATGACCCTCCGAACGGTATACGAACGTTTGGCGCCACCGAGATTTTAAAGGATGCCTGGTGCCATACACATAAACAGACGAGATGTCGAATCCTCCTATTTTATTCAATTTTATCTTATTTCCATTGTAGTGTCCACAATCTAGATCCAAAATTCCAATCTAAATTATGTCAGATCATATTCTAAATGTTCAATGCGCATCCCCTAATTCTCATGTTAAGTACCCACAATCCCCACACCCACGTAAATAGCCAGCACTACTCTCCCAGCCTACCATTGTTAAGAAAGAGTCACTCTGGTTGTTTGTGAAAGTCAAAACCCAGCTGTGAATCGGCCCACCTCAACCTCCGGTCGCCCAAAGTTAAGTACAAGTGAGGATTTTTAGTTCAGGCTAGATAACGTGCTGTCATTCGTGAGTTTTATTTTACCGTGGACAGCTTCGTGTTTTTAGTATTTCTTTTAAATAAAGCGTATCCACCTTGGTTTAAACAATAAAATCAAAATCTAACTTGTACCTAAGTTTTAAATGAAATAGTTAGCATAACGGTTTCCTCAGTTAATGAGTGATGCTTGCGCTGCCACAGATCACCTTTTAAGAAATTCACCTGCTCTAACTACGTACAAGCTGGGCGCCCTTGTAAGTGAGACGCTACACTACTACTATTATTGTCAATATTATTACCATTATTATCATTATCATCATTATAATTATTATTATTATTATTATTATTATTATTATTATTATTGTTATTATTATTATTATTATTATCATCATTATTATTATTATCATTATCATTATTGTTATCATTGTCATTATCATTATTGTTTTTATTGTCATTATCATTATCATTATCATCATTAGTGTCATTATTATTATTGTTATTATTATTATTATTATTATTATTATTATTATTACTATTATTATCATTATTATTATTATTACTATTGGTATCATATTTTTTATCGTTCGTGCTAATTATACTAATTATGATAATACTGATAATGATATGGAGAAAAAGAAATAAAAAAGAGGTAGGGAGAAAGATTACTGTCCTTAGTTTTGATAATCGAAAAAAAGAACTTACGTGGTCGGGTTGCTAATATCCCGCACGCTGAGGTCATCCGACGAACTATACGGGCGTTTGGGGTCATTGATATCCCTCTTAGTATCATTGAGGTCTTGGCCGCTGCCGAGGTCCTGCTCCTGGAAGTAGGAGATGAAAAGAGGGAATTGGAACAAGTACTTAAGTAGCTGTTACGACTGTGATGGTAACGGTGATGGATTGTGGGAAGAGGGGAATCTATGTCAGGTGTCATGGCGATGCTGCTAATGACAAAAACATTGTCAAGATAATGATGATCAAAATCACTACCCTTATGTTTCTTATAAATTAATACATAATATTTAGATAATTAATTCGTAATTAAGTCCACATGATTACATTTGTATTTATTTATTTAAAAAAATATCGAATATCTTTTGTAAAAAAAAAAAAAAATGGATAAGGGTATTTTGAGCATTTGTCACTGAAAAGCTGATTTTTTAAAAAATCAACATTAACTCACCGCTAAGTCAACCGCAGCGGTGATGGCGTACACACTGGGGCGGTTCTGAGTGCTGGCATCGGCCTGAAGGAAAACGGAAAGAAATTCAATTTATACGCTAGCACAAACAGCCAAACATACATACATATGCGCACAAACTCTCTCATACACATAGAAGCACGCATAAACACACACACATACATGTGTGTATGTGTATATATATATATATATATATATATATATATATATATATATATATATATATATATATATATATATATGTATATATACATACTCACACACACACACACACGTATATATATATATATATATATATATATATATATATATATATATATATATATATATATATATATGTATATATACATACTCACACACACACACACACGTATATATATATATATATATATATATATATATATATATATATATATATATATATGAAGGCTGGCTTTCGGTAAATGCTTGTATGGAACGTGCCATTGTTATAGATGATTAGCGTGTCCAAAAATGGCAATTGCTTGTTTTCCTGCATCTCACAGATAAATTTGATGCTTGAGTGTTTCGCGTTGACTTTACGCGTGAGGGGTGATTAAAAAGGAGAATGGTATCGACGATAATGAATGGGTTTCAATTCAGGCGGACATTGTTATGCATTAGCGTAAGAAGATCCTAATGGGGAACCCATTGCTACATTGTCTGTATGACTGTATAAACAACCATCAAAAGTAAAAGTAATGGGCTGCAATCTCAAACATTTTTTTGAAGTTATCTTTTGATAGGCCAGATTCATTGTGATGTGTGCTGTTTAGATTGTTGACTATCAAATCAGTGGTTTCATGAATGTGAACATTAGTGAACAATGAGTCAACATCAAACTTACCATGGTGATGAGTTGTTGAAGTTTAAGGAATGTAATTTCACTCAGGACACTGCATCTAGAACACAAACCATCTTTCTCGGCAATAAGAGAACACTCTCTACACCACTCATACCCTTCCTCCAACACAGATTTTAGTATTCTATCTTCCCATTCTTCCCGCCCAGAACTCATCATCTCAGAACTAAACAACACAACCATCGAAACAACCTTACTTACCCAATAGGCCTTCCCTTTCACCAAAACCCACTTTGGTTAGTTTACCTTTTTGGTTGTTATAGTTTTTTTTCTTGTATATGTTATTTTATACCATTTATATGCTCATACTGGATGTCGTTTTTTATGATTTCATTACGTCTATGGATATATTCTTATTTAATTTTACGTATTTGTAGTTTTGTT